GAGTGAGACCTCGCCGAAATATTGCCAAGACAATCTCAATCTTACATAGGAAAAGACCTGAATACAACAAGACCAGCACATACACACACACACACACACACACGATTTTAAAAACTGAAGTACAATTGAAACTAGAGCCTTTTCTTTTGGGACTAATAGAAAGGAAACTAAGAAAAAGTCATGAAACTTTGCTTTTATATATGACAACTGCAGTAATGTTTTTTAACATTATATGTTAAAAAATGGAAAGATTCAACCCTATTCACCATAGAAGAATAGTTGGTGAAGATGATAGAACTTGGAAAGATGGCTAAACTAACTTATTTTATTATAGAAAAGATGCACCACATGTATGGAAACTCCTTTTTGCGTGAAACAGAAAAAATGCATTTATGACTTGTGGTTTTGATGATTAGAAAAAAATGGAGAATAGAAAACTGCTTCTTTTTGTAACCAAAAAGTAAGAGATAACTTTGTCATCATTGCGGCTGCAGAAGAAATTGGAAGCTTCTTCTTTCTGTTTCTTTTCATCCTTTCTCTCTGTACTTCTTTCTTTCCTCCCTTTCCTTCTCTTCTTTTCCCTTTCCATCTTCTGCATTAGTTCAGTTTAACTTTTAATAAAATTAATCCATAAATGAAATTCATATAAAAATATAATAAATTTACATTTAAAATTGTACCTCCACTTGAATTTGAAATGATGTTATTCATTTTACCATTTCAGAATTTTATCCATGTTCTCTCTCCTTAATTTTGCTACACATGCCAACAAGCCCATATCTTTAAATCTCAAATCACATTTGAACCTTCTCATATGAAAAGATTGTATGAATTTGCATACAATCTTTTGGCCTGATATCAATAAGATAAAGCCTCACAAGGTTAGTTTAATTTAATTATGGAAGAACTTTCATTTAGGTGAAAATCATTGGCTGCCTGAAAAAGCCCAAGAATCAATATCCTGTGGATCCAGGATTCTACTCAGATTCTATCATAAGAAACACATACAATAAGAGCTTAAAAAAACCATCACATCAAGATAATTCTTTTGCAATCCACATAATCTGTTTTTAATAATTGATGCAACTTCTAAGACAAAAACAAAACAAAACTAATTATGGCATATATGAATATAGCTTTTTGCTTTAACCTTCCTCAGAGAGTTGTAACGAGAATAAAATAATGATTTCATGATTGAATTCTTTANTGGTCAGATTCAGCTGATAGTTCTGCTAGATCAGTGGTTCCCAAACTTGGCAACTTTAAGACTTGTGGACTTCAACTCCCAGAATTCTCCAGCTAGCTCTTCTGGCTGGAGAACTCTGGGAGTTGAAGTCCACAAGTCTTAAAGTTGCCAAGTTTGGGAACCATGTTTAGATGAACAATACCGAAGCTGAGAAATTAGCATTTAGCCTTAGGCTAAC